AATTACATTTGAATTAAGAATTACACCGATTCTGGACAGAAATTCATTATAGTCTGTGTTTATCTGATAAAACTGTGAATACATTTAAAGAACTGCTGCCTTCTGGACTTACCTCTTAGCCATGTGTCAGTACAATAAAGGAAAGTTATCAAACCTTCACTCCTAGATTAGTTGATAACTTTGTAAATAGTACAGCAGCCTCATTAAAAACAACCCTTGACGCTGTCGCCCCGCTGAAAAAGCAGAAAGTAAATCAGAGGAGATGAGCTCCATGGTATAATTCTCCAACGTTATTTAAAACAGACATTTATTATTAATAGAAGAAAATAAGAACAACCCCAGGTTCCTCTTCAGCACTGTGACCAGGCTGATAGAAAGTCACACCTCTACTGACCCATCTATCCCTCTAACCCTAAGAAGCAATGATTTCATGAACTTCTTTACAAATAAAATTATAACCATCAGGGATAAAATCCACCACCTCCTCCCAATGAATAGCACAGATACATTGTCTGGTCCTGAAACTATAGAACCAGATTTATGTTTGCACTTCTTACTTCTAAATTCAGACAAAACTGAGGTTGTTGTTATTGGCCCAAAACATCTCAGAGAAACACTGTCTAAACAGATAGTCACCTTGGGTGGTGTCAGTTTGGACTCCAGCTCCACTGTGAGGAAACTTGTAGTTATGTTTGACCAGGACATGTCATTTGACCAACACATAAAACAAGTCTCTAAGACAGCTTTCTTCCATCTGCGCAATATTGTAAAAACTATAAACATCCCGTCTCAGAGGGATGCTGAGAAACTAGTCCACGCATTTGTTACCTCTACACTAGATAACTGTAACTCTATCAGGAGGCCCCAGGAAGACTGTAAAAAGTCTCCAGTTGGTCCAAAATGCTACAGCACGAGTGCTGACAGGAACTTGAAGGGGAGATCATATTACTCCTGTCTTAGCTTCTCTACATTGGCTCCTTGTAAAATTCAGAAAATAATTCAAGATCCTGCTCCTCACATTTAAAGCCCTTAGCAATCAAGCCCCTTCATATATCAAAGACCTGATAACACCATATTTTCCAAATAGATCACTTCATTCACAAAACACAGGCTCTCTTGTGGTTCCAAGAGTCTGTAAGATTAGAACAGGAGGTAGAGCATTCAGCTACCAGGCTCCTCTCCTGTGGAACCAGCTCCCACTCTGGGTTCTAGAGTCTGTAAGAGGAGAACAGGAGGTAGAACCTTCAGCTACCAGGCTCCTCTCCTGTGGAACCAGCTCCCACTCTGGGTTCGGGAGGCAGACACCATCTCGGTATTTAAAGTTAAACTTAAAACGTTCCTTTCTGATAAAGCCTATAGTTAGGGCTGGATCAGGTGAGTCCTGAACCATCCCTTAGTTATGCTGCTATAGGTCTAGACTGCTGAGGGAACTCCCATCATACACTGAGCACTTCTCCACTTCTCTCTGCCCCCCCACACTCATTTATTTATTTTAATGCATGTCAATGACTACTTCACTTTGTACTCCCATAGTCCCTCTCTCTTTTTTTTCTCTCTCATTTCAGATATCTCTGACCCCGGAACTTCAGGACAACAACTATTACCATTATTACTGTTATTAATTACAATATGTCAGTAATGAATTATTATATGAATTGTGCTTGTTATCAATAATAATTAATCGTTTTTACACTGTTATTGTTTACATTTTAACTAGTCAGAGCTGATACCTGATGGGGCTCAAGTGTTCCCGGTCTCTCTCGCCTCTCTCTCTCTCTCTCTCTCTCTCTGTCTCTCAACTCTCAACCACTGTTGGTCACTGTGTGCACCATGACCCATGAGGTCACAAGGCCAAAATAAGCCAAGTGTGGCGTTTGACCACGCCACCGGGTTCCCCCCACGACAGCCAGAGACAGACCAGTTCAACCATTGCGTGTTCAACATCCTTTATTGCCTCCCAACTGAAACTTACAACACATGTAACTTAACTGGTCCAGCACTATTTGCTGGACCTTCAGCTTCCCCAGTGTCTTCCCCCGTGTCTCTCGTGTCCTGGAGTGTTTCTCCCGTGTTCTCTGAGCGTTCTTCTCCCGAGTCTAGTGCGTTCTTCTGAGTGTCTTTTCCTGAGTCTCAGTGTTCTCAGAGCCTTCTCCCGAGGCAGCTCTGCTGCCTCCTTTTAAGTCTGAGGATCAATCAGCTAACAGCTCTCACCTGTGCTGATTGATCCTCAGTGGTGCAGGTGAAGGTGCTCTCTCCGCCCCTTCACCT